TTGCACTGGAAGTCCTCTTTAGCCAGGTTTCCCAAGGCTATGAGCTTCTCCTGGCCCCGAGTGTGTATGTTTCTGTGCCTACCTGGGAGTCTCCCAACAATATTTGAATCTATTGGCAATTTCAACCAAAAGATTTCAACCAAAAGAAAACAGGACAGTAAGGATCTATGAGATGCTACATTCCTACAAGTTTCAACAACACAGCTAGCTGAGCAGAGGACAAAGCTCATGTTCATCCACCCCTCTTCTCTGTCAGAAAGGAACTCGATGAAACCCAGCCTTATTAGTCACAAAAAATAGTATTTTCAACATCACAGGAATATTTCTGACAACATTCCTGTGCTTTATGCTACCACTGAACAGCACAGAGGTTGCTACTTCGGAGTTACCTGTTGGTTCACCTTTTTCACCCTTATAAAAGATGTTCTATCCCTTTCCACTGCAAGTGGAGGATTTCTTGAGGTAAATCATGAGGAAAGTCATTCAGGGCTGGGGGCCATGTTCCACCAGCCACTTCTGTTTCCCATCACCACTGACCTTTTGTGAATTCCTATGTACTATGGATGCACTTCTAACATGGCCTTGGGAGTATTCATTTAAAAAGGGCTGTGTTATACCTGTTGCATTAAAAAATGTTTCTAAATGGTTTCTGCATTGAAAAGCATAAAAAAACCATATCTGTGATTGTGTAAGTAGGTTTATTCCTACACCCATAGTCATCCACTCTTCAGCCCAAAGAAGGCAGAAGAGCACAAAATACTGAATTTCAGCCTGTGATACCAAAATGTGAATTCTTTCACAGGGTGAAAGAATTAAAAGACAAATGAGAAATCTGGCATTTTTTTAAAGGAAGATCAGATGATTTTGGTCTACTTACTGTCTTGGAGTGCAAAGTGAACTCTAATTATGTGCTCTGCTCCTTGGCATGTTTGTTTCTCGATTATTTTATAAGTAATTTTGAGTCTCCAAGTGTTATAAAAACATCACCAGACTAAGAAATTGCACAGTAGTCATTCTTTTACACTTTTATTCTTGGCAAAATCCAACGAGTAGCATTACCAGTAAGGAGCTAAGATAATTACATGGCAGCAGAAGGACATCATCCCTCTAAAGACAGTCTCTAATCAATGATGCTTTTAACTTATCACTGCCTATCTGTATCTGCAAGGACTTAAAAGGACAGTATAAAATATCAATCACACCACCAAAAATATTCGTAAAGATTACTTCTTTTGGCAGATTATGCATTTCAAGGAAAGCATCAGCAATCTTGTTTGCATCTGTGAACATAACAGTTTCCTTGTTCCCCTCTCTGAAACATCATTTGCTGTTTTGATCTAGCTGACAACATATTACCTATTTTTTTCTTAAGAGTTTCAGGGGCAACTAACTTTGAATATTGTGTGCTGCAGAAAGCAGCAACTTTAAGAAGTAGAGGTGGCAAATCATCATTTCAAGAAAGAGCTGAATGAGACTTTGGCATAGGTAAAGAATTGAGGATTGGGTTTTGCAAAGGCAGTTAATAGCAGTTTGCATCAAATCACAGTGCTTGTTCTGGCTCTCATCTAAATCAACATAAAAAGAAATATGGGAGATCTGAAACCTCTGCATTCCCAAGAAACAGATTTATTTTACTATAGCCATCAAAAATAAGTTATTTAATCTATAGGATGCTAGGAATCCTTCCCCCCAGGCAGTCCACCACCAAGCATTCCCTGTGCAGAAACCTGTAGCAGTTTCGTTAGAAAAGTCTCCTCATCTTCTAGTGCCTTTCGGTACTGTATTAGATAAATTAGCTGACTAATCTAATGATAAAAAATAGCCATAGCCTTCTCTAAGTAGGACTCCCACTGGTGCTAGCACATATGAAGAGTACCTTTGGGTAAAATTACCAGTCATAGACAATGTGAAGACTTGAACATCCAGTACAACTTGCACAAACCAGCTTAAAACACAAGGCTCTGCTCCTGCTCTCTCTTCACAGAGCAGCCTGATGATGTGACTCACACAGGCTTGTAAAAGTCCAAACAATTAATCTCGGTGAGATTTGCTGCCTTTTCTACATTTTGGCAGTGGTCTTTTGGCCCTTCTGGAGTGGTCATGAAGTACATATAAACTATACTTTTACAGAGGGGAATGTAAGATATTGTAATATGAAATTATAGTGAATTTAAAGAAGTAAAACACTTTTATAGAGCATCTTGACACAGTTATGAAAGCATTCTCCAGTACCAGAAAAATAAAACCCCCTTTATTTCTGATACTTCATTATTACTATTAATTTACAACTCAAAGTGACAGTAAAGTGTGCAGACTTCAGGACAAGGTGTTACTGGTTCCTAAAAACATCTTTCAGATGAAAGCATAATCATGTTTAAGTGTGCTTCTTATCAGAAAGGCCTGCTCCAGAACTCGGAAATGTTCTACAGGCTTATATAGATCTTTTTAAAACACAGCTTCTTGAAATACACAATTGCTTTGTTGCAAAAGCTGTTTTATTACAGCAGGCACTTCCATACTGAGAATTTGCTGGTCAGATCCAATTCTGATTCACTTTAGCCTGCCAAGATCAAAGCTGAAATGATTAATCAAGAAAAATATTTTTCTGAAATCAAGGGAAGATTTCTACGAAATGGGGAGAAGCGCAATGAATGCCAATGGAGGACAAGTAGCATTATTTTTATAATTCACTTTTATACTTTTGATTGAGATATGCTGCACTTTTTTATTGAAATTGTAGAGCAATTTCATGCAATGTGAATTTCTGTAGGTGCTTTTTACATGTTGAAATTAACACTTCATACAGTGTGACCATTATATGTACTATTTTCATTATGACTTTTGGTTCAAAGAGCCTACTATACAAAATTTTGTTTCTGGTGTTAATCCCATGCTTAAGAGGTCTGGATGTAGTACCTGCAAAACCACAGAGGCTTCACCACTGTATTTATGATGGTTGTTTTCATTATTTTTTTTTTGCCCAGATGACCAGAAGAGAGCTGCTCTGCAGGAAAAAACACTGGCAGAATAACAACACATACCCCTGAAACAGGACAAAAGAGGAAGTGTCACCAGGAAACAACCATTACAAGCTAGCGCAAACACCAAAGCCACTTAACTTACCATAACCAGCTAATTATAAAGAGCTCAGGCCTGGAAGAACACAGAAAAATATAGGTATGGGCAAAGTGAGCAGATAGGCAAGGACAACATTAAAAGTTATTTAATATTAATGGAGTCTCTTTAAACTACTGCACCTTTGGTCTAACTCCTATGCCTTCAGAATATGTCCCCGACTTCCCCCTTAAGCCAGTCTCAAGTGGCTTTGAGTGATGCTTGTCACACCACAGTCCCTACACAGCTTTTGTTACCAGTGCAGTTCCTGTATTCCACTCTGGTCCGAGCGTATAGTTCCTGTGGGAGCTGTGACATGCACTGCAGTAAAGGACAGGACAAATACAGGATGATACTAAAGATGAAACACCACCACTTAACCTCAAAGTAATTATATATCCATTTTTACATAAATTACTACAAAATGTAAGAAGCAGCTACATAAACTTTAAATCTCTACTACTAAGAAAAATAAGTATTTTTAAATAGCATCTACAATTTAAAAAATTGCTTTCTATCACCTAGATATGTGGCATTTTCCAACAGAAGTTTCATAGGTTCAATGCAAAAATAGCAGCTATCATCTGTGATCTTTTATTGTTGACAAAACTTTTATTTTGAAAAATGTACTGTATTTTTGAACAATAAAAAGTCTCTTCAACAACATACTGCTACGTTTAATATCCACTGTTACATTCTTTGAAGTACAGACCTTCTAGGTATCTGCTTTCTTAATTGCGTTCACAGTACATCTATAAATGGTAAAAATGGATCAGCACATAAGTGTTTTCTATCCAAATAGCATCCCAAACTTGTTAGTGTACACTCATGAAATAAAATGCTGTTTACTGTTCCTGCTACCGTAAATAGTAGGAAGTTTTCAGTCCTTTTATTCTAAATGATAAAAGGAGTGTGCCAACAATGAAAATCAGTTACCATGAATACTTGCCTTTACATATAATTTTATATATGCAAAACATGCATAAACATACATCTGGGAAGAGTATACAGTATTTATATAAGCATTACAGCTAATTTGCTCTTTATGTATGGAAAAATTGGTTAACAAATAGTGAAAAACAAAGATTCATGTTCGTCTAGTGTTACAGCTTCTTTCGTTACATACTACAACCAAAACCCAATCTGCTTTCAGAAAGATTTAGACTAAAATTTACCCATTCTCTGTTATATAGACTGTGAAAAGGCTATTCTCAGCCTATGTAGGTCAGCTCCTCCCCAGCACTGCACTTTCTTTTGAAAACATTGATATATTTAAGTGAAGAGCCATCAGCTACGATACAAAACCCAAGCTACAAACCCAAACATTACTGAGTAAAGCCCCAGTGCTTCCTCCTCAACTTCTGTGCACTGGAACAGGTTGCCAACATTCTTGGGAGGCATTCAAAACCTGACTAGACATGGTCCTGTGCAGCCTGCTCTAGGTAGCCCTGCTTGAGCAGGGGGTTGGATAAGAGGACCTCCACAAGTCCCTTCCAACCTCAGCCATTCTCTGATTCTGCTTCTGTTTGTTAAGCTGATTTTTCCCAGCATCTAAAAAGATTGAGTTTAGTGAATAATAAACCAAGAAACAACCTACTGCAATCACTCAAACACAAAATCAAGTGTTTATTTACTATTTACATGTATAAATACATTAATGCTACAAGTACTCTTGTCATGTTCTTCATTATCATAGCACCTTAGATAAGGATGACATATTATACAAATAAGATGCCTTAGTTTTACTAGGCACCTGTGCAGTCACCACCAAAGTTTAACCAAAACAAATATGGCACATGTCATAAGTGATCCCTTTTCACAGTTCTATAATTTTTTAGTACTAAAACCAACCGTACATCGGATTTTTTTATTTTTGGTCAGATAAAAGATTTTATTATTTTCAGCAATGGATTAATAGTTTATTTGGTCACAAGTCATAACGGCCTTCTCACTTCAGCATTTAATAGCATCAACAACTTTTGGCTTTGCAGAGAACATTTTGTTGTTGTTGTTGAAGTCAATTGGGGAGACATTGCCAGCAGATACTGTCGATGATCTGAATTCCATCATTTCAGTTGCAAGACAACCTTTAAAAGGGAGAAAAAGAATTAAAATAAAATTGGATGAGACCAAACTTAAGCAGTCTAGGAAATACAGGTTTTTGCTTTCTGTTACAGTATAATATGCAACTGTATAAACATGTCTTTCCTCTGAAAAGGACACCATCCTTCCATCAGCTCTCTTTCACAACCTCACACAACTATCAATATCTTTCTTTAGCACTTTCTGCACGCAAACCATTCCTCAATTCCCTGTAATCAAAAAGTACAATGGCAATTTCCAGGTCCAGCCAGATTCCTCCTGCACAAAGCGGAGCCAAGGGACCATTTCTAGAGTGAATTCTTCCTTGTGTGCACATAAAACCCAATAAGATAACAACATCCCACAGCTTCCATGCAGACCTTCACTCAGAGCAAAAGGAGTGTGGAGACTGCTGGAGTCTATCCTGGAAGAATCCTTCTTTGCATGGAGTTAAAAACAAGCTACTATTTTTATTTAGTTTTGAAGAGAAAAATCCAGAGAAAGGAAAGCTGTTAAGGGCTTATTTCACAAGAACACCACTTGTATCTGGACTAATGCATTTTTTTCACTGGGAACTGCATTCAGAGGTCTCACAGCCTCATTAAAGCAATAACCTTAGTGTCTTTTAAAATTCAAAATATTAACAGTGCTATTGTAACTTAGTATTTAGCTCTATAAGCTATAAATCTATTATTTTCAGTTATTACATACTGATGATTTTTTTTAAATGTTGGTCTAGAGATTCCAACCATAGCATCATAACATTACATAAAACACCTAAAGAAACCCCTTACTTGCTAAATGTTATGAAGCAGTTAGAAGCTGCTGACTTCTAAAACATGTTGATACAACTTTCACATTCAGCCTGCAAGATGTCAGAGAATTCAGTCTCCCAGATAAGAGACTTAATAAATGCTTGAAGACATTTCCACATTTAAAAAAACAACCAACCAACCAACCACCACCAAACACCAAAAATCCACAAAACTCTCCCCTCAACACTTTCCATTATAACAGAGCCAGAATTAATCCTCAAAGGTAACTGAACAAGGAGGGACTCCAGGGTCTGCAATTATCACCAGGGTGCTAGCCAGATGACACTTCTTCCCATAACAATGTTTCTTTAAATCCTCACTTCCATTAGTCTTTTCTATTAAGAAATCTGAGACAATCCAAATAAAGTGCCGTGGTTTGTGCTAAATAGAACGAATTTTCTATTTAGTGATTTTACTTTTCAGCTCAGTCTAAGTGGCTGAACTTGCTGAAACTGGCAGCATGTTTTCCAGTATGTGCTACTACAACTGATAATCTCAAGGTCAATTGTCTCGCCATGGGTGCCGTGTCTGCGCCTACGGGGTGGAGCGGACCCAAAACTGACCAACTAGGTATTCCATCCCACATACATCATACTCGGTATAAAGCCAAGGGATCACAAGGGTCTTGACCCTTCCATATTGGAGTCCTTCCATCTCAGACCCTTCCATCAGTCTCAATCCTGCAATGGCCAAGGTCTGAGCAGAACCCTGCTTGGTTCATCTGCCTCTGATTCTGATCCGTGTGTTCTGCATCCTGTTCCCACCTGCTGCTGAGTTCGGTCTGGGACTTTTCAAGTGCCCGGCTCCACAGAGACTCTGGTGATGTAATCGTCAACTTGGAGGCGGGGGGGAAGATTTTATACTGGTTTTGTATATTTATTTGTACATTATTGTATATATTTCATTACTTTCCTATTTACATTATTATCCTGTAGTATTAGTATTATTGTTTTATTAAATCTGTTAGTTTTATTTTCCAACCCGTAAAGTCTCTCTCCCTTATTCTCTTTTCTCTTCCTTTCTGGGGAGGGAAGAGGGGTTAATAGAGAGCGTCTGTCCAGGATTTAGTGGCCAGCCCAGCCCTAAACAATGACAAAGTTTCACTTGAAAATTTCTAATGGGGTTACTGTACTGGAATCTTTGTAACCTTCTTCTTGATTCTTCTTCTTGATGCCACAGAAATTAAAGCACTCAATTTGAACCAAACAACTCTCCTATGTGCATTACCAGCCACTACCATTTTGTGAAGTTGGGGGAACACTGGAACCCTCTCCAGTCTTTCAAATCAACTCTCATCTGACACTTCATTTGCTTCTTGTATTTTCACAAGACTTTAAAAGTCTGAACAGATTGTTATGCTTATCAGGATCCTAATTACATTTTTAAAACATTCTAGACTAAACTGTACTTTAAAAAAAACCTTGAAGTCTATCCAAGATAGCCTTACATAAGACAGACTTTCTGTAACTCTATAGACATTTTGCCAATTAATTATTTACTTTGGGTTTTCAGCAAGATATGAGAACAAAAAAAAAAATCAGTTAAACTAAGTAGATGAGAAGTCAGGAAAAAAGGATAGTATCAGTAAAAGCTACCTTATTGGCGGCTTCCAGTGCATTTATTAGGTTCTGCAACTCTTCTTTATTCATCTCTATAGAAACTGGTTTAATTTCACCATTTTCTCGCACATCCAAATCAAGATTGAGAAGCGGCATTTGCAGCATGGAGATCTTATCACTGGAGAGAGCAAGCTATGCAGATTGATTAAACAACAACAACAAAGAGCGAGATGGAGCCATTGGGATTTTAGTTTTTCACAGCATATCTGCACTTTTAGTACTACCAGAAAAAAACATCAACATAACAAAATTAACTTCTCACAAGTAATCTCTGCAGTTTTTGGTTTTGCTCTTCAAAAGTGAAGTACAGGAATTCTCAAGTTACTCTATTCAAATGCATCTGGTAATCAACAAGTAAGAAGGGTCTTACAGAGTGGCATTCGGGAGAAAGAGGACATCTTTGTGCAGTTTTCAAGTCTCACTACAGTTGATCAAACACTGTCTGATAGCCTATCTGACAAACACTGATGGAGAGGATTACATACCAATTGTGCTCTCTTTTTGTGTACTATTTTACTCACTCTAGTATAAATAAGGCTTTTAAAACATATTAAAGTCAAAGATGTGTTGATAATACTGTAGATCAGTACTATACACACCTATCTCGTTTACTTAGAGAGCAGAATGTGGTACAGCAGAGAAGAGAGAATGTCCTTGGCAGTATTCAACTATGGTAAGCAAAAAAAAAAAAAAAAAATCACAACCAGCTCAAGGGGAAAAAAAAAACCACACAAACCACACAAAAACCAAAACTAGTGGTTTAAAGCAAAATGAATATAATAGTTCATACATGTACCACAAAATAGAAAGAAACTCAAAAATTTATCCAGAAGAAAAAGTCAGAAGAAACCACAAGCAAAAAAAAAGAGTCCACATAAGTCTGTTTTCTATTTTTATCAGTTTTTTCAGCAGTTAGTGAGAGATGAGTCCCTAGTAACAGTTCACCGAAAGCACATTATGATGCCATATTTGCTCTTGCAAAATCTTGTCTATTCTGAGCACTGTTTTTTGATTTCCAAAGCTGTTTGCTGTACAAATTATTTAACAGTCTTGTTGAAATGAAAAACTACTTAAAAGCTCCCATGGAATAACTAAACATTACTTACACTGTTTGTATTTTAAGTCTCTGATAGGGCTTAATTTAAAGCAGCTGTGTCTTTGTAATCCAAGCACCATCCAACTTCAGGCAACACAGTTATCATTGGCTTATCATCAAAGTAAGTCTAAAGATGAATAATTTCAAACTAATTATTAAATAATTTTTTATTCCAGGAATCCAAAAAAAATTTAAGAAGTCAGGGAAACACATCCTGAATCAGTGTACTACTCTTAAAATTAAGTATTTCTTTTTCCTTTGAGTAAAAATACTGTCTATTCAGGCCTCAAAATCACAACAGCATATGAAACTTTCAGGTGTTCCTGAATAATGCTCAATCTCCTTTTAGGAAAAGGATAAGTATGGCAGCTTTAAAAGAAAGAAGGGGGAGGGGGAGGGAAGTAAAAAGAGTAATTATTTTACTTCTACAATTTATAGAAATCTCTGGCGAGTCTTTGATGTATTATCACGAATATGCTTTTCTGATACCTACGAAAATTGAAGCATTCTCCAGAATGAGCAGGCCTAAGGGGACTATATCAATAGTTACTTCTGTGTTGTGGAACGCTTCCTTCAAGCAACATTAAGGCAACACTCTCACCTTTAACTGCCAGTCAAAATCCTGCAGCTGCGCAGAAGATATTGCATTTACTCTTTCCACTAGTGCATTCCTGATTTCTTCCTTTCTGCCTTTTAGACATTTTGTGATTGCTTCTTGATAGTTTGAATTTAACTCATTTATCTGCTGAGCAGCCTACAAAAAAAAAATGGTGACTGCTTAAACTATGAACCACAGAAGTTACACATACCACCCGTAATAGCTGTAGATATCCAAGCTTCTACCCAGGCAGTTGCTTAACTAGACTCCATAGCCTCATCTTCCCTATTCTGTGCTCAGTGGCTGCTCTCTCTGTCTGACAGAGTCAGTATTTACCACAGCAATATACAAAGAAAAAAAATAATTTTTGTCATTTAAATTAAATGAGAATGAAGATTTGAGGCTTTATCGGCCTTCTTAGGCACCATTCTAAAACCAGAAGAAAAATCACACACACAAAGAACAAAGGTTTAGCTCTGAAAGTTTCTAAACATCAGAGCGGAGATAAAATACATTAGCTTAGCTGTAACATACTGTTGTACAGACTTTGCAACAGCTACACAAGTATCTTTGATCTCGCTACTAGCGGGTAGTCAATATGAGCAATGAGCAAAAGATGAGAATGAAGATTTCACACAGAATCACACAGAATATTAGGAGTTGGAAGGGACCTCAAAAGATCATCCAGTCCAATCCCCCTGCCGGAGCAGGATCACCTAGACTAGGTCACACAGGAACAAGTCCAGGCGGGTTCTGAATGTCTCCAGAGGAGACTCCACAACCTCTCTGGGCAGCTTGTTCCAGTGCTCTGTCACCCTCACAGTTTTTCCTCATGTTCACATGGAACCTCCTATGCTCCAGCTTACTCCCATTGCCTCCATTGTCCCATTTCTAATAATTCTAATTTCTTAATCACAGTCCCTGTCCCACACGGTCCTCCATTCACAGCCTATTTAGGCTTAGTCTACTACTAAAATGCTACACTATAAAAATACTTTAGGACTAAATAAACTACAAGACTAATCACTCCAGTATGGTCTCTCAAAGCCAGTAAGAATCAGTGATGAGCCCTTACCTCTTCATCAGTCATGTTTTTGCCAACTGCAGTTTTGAAATACGTCATTGTTTCTTCTAAAACCTCCATCCATTCTGACAAACTCCAAATACTGCCATAATCCTGGTATCGAGGATATGCACGGCCACATATGCCATCAACTACTTTATGAAGAAACTGAAACAATGCGATACATAACTTAAAAATATGATCCTATCACCATTAAGCTACACCAGACATGAGACTGATGAAGCAATTCAGTTATGGCCCCTCTTCACTCGGTACTGTCTCGAGTACTTCCTCTGAGTGCATCCCATGCACCATAAAGTCATAAAGAGGCAGTCCCCAAATATGAACCGTCCTCTCTGCTCCCCAAAAGTAAATTCACAAGGTCTGGCCATAGAAATCACAACACAATTGAGATTCACCTCGGACTTACATTAAGACTTAACAGTTTTGTAGACGACTATAACGTACTGTCAAGCAGCAGAGCTGCCACATCAAAGGGCACCTCAGTCATCTCTACACTGGAACTGTCAGTCAAAGTACTGGTCTCTGAGTCTGTGGATCTCCCTAGTCTCCCAAACCACCATCCTCTAGCACTGAGGCTCTTCTATGCACCTGGCTTCTTGCCCTGCTATAGTTATTTTTCTTTGAGACTGTAGTGAGGCAAATCTAGTCAGTCCATTACTCCACCGACTGGAAAT